ATTCTAGATAACTATATACAGTACTTACAGGAAAAAAACACAAATACATTTGAGGGTTTTGGAGAATGTTGTTACAGTACAATACATTTCATGCTGATCTTTTGTACTTCTATAAACATAGATTTGCTATCACATTATATTTTTGTTTAATGATCACATGTTGAATGAAAAATGAACCAATTCATTTTGGCACGCAATGTGGGGCCGTTACATTTTACAAAACAAAACAAAACAAAAAAAGAACATTATTATCAAGAATTTACTAAAAATTCAAAAGGAAGTTGTTTGTTTGTTTGTAAATACTTTATTAAGCATTTATACTGAAGTGCTCAAACATTTAAGTCAACTCAGTATTTGACATGATCATGTGATGTACTACTTATTTTTTTGCTAAATGTAACTTTCTGCTATTTGCTTAAAATTAGATTTTTCTTAAGCTTTAACAAGTATATGCTACCAAAAACACAACCCCCTAGGCTGAGGTAATGATAACTTAAAGATATATTGTGAGTGGAATGTCTGCTTACCGCCAAAGGGATCATCGAGGAAGTGGCCATACACAGTGCTGATGGCCACACCCAGGTAGTTGGTCGCCTGTAATGTATAGTTGCCATTTTTTTCATGTGTCGGGTTTTTAAAAGTAAGGCATCCCTCTATGTCATCCTGGTAAATATCCATATCAGGTCGCACATAATCAGTGTGATTCATTGCCTAAAAGTGCAAAAATGAAGGAGCATCAGTTAAATTTGTATAAATGTATCCTAACATATTGCACAAATAAAGCTTTCAGCTAAAAGGATGTTGTAATACCTCTAGGTTTTACAGTTTTCCACTATTATTAGAACTAAAAAATAGCAATTCTCTAAACCGAATATCTGTTCCCCAAACACATTTATAACACTAGCCCCCCCCCCCCCCCCCATTTGCCAAAGCTATAAACACATTTCACATGAAGACAATTCACAAAACTTTATCCTCATTTTCTCATAACTCTAAACACATTTTGCCTTGTGGAAACACAAGTTACAAATAAACTTTGCTCAAACACATTGACGCTCGTCTGATGCAAACTTTTAGAACACAGTCAGCAATACTCAAACAAAATGAACAACATACCTGTCTAGTTCAAAGTCAATCATCGATCTACAACCTAGGGTGTCCTGGTGTCACATGCACATATATTTTTTTTGTAATACTTCTTGTCTACATTCCTTCTTCCCTCCAGACCCTTTGTTCTGTATCTGAGTTCTTCACCAACTATTTTGCCATGAAACCTGACACCACTTAAACTACACACAGTCATTTTAAGTCAGTTTAACTTGAAAATTACTTTGTCTATACCTTACTGTTGACTTGAAAATTTGTTTTTCAAGTTTTCAAGTCAGATTTATTGTCAATTCACAATATACACAGTTGTATCGTTTCACGGTATACTATCTCCATGCAAACCAACAAGGGGCTTGTGGGAGTTTTCTGACCTTCTAATGCTGTCTATTGATATTTTCATAGATTTTTCTTTCAGGTATGAAAGTCAAATTGAAGAAAGCAGTAATAAGACCAATAAAGCTTGTCATCTAAGATGTCATACAAGATGTAAATGAACCACACCTCCCCTTTGTGGAACCATCTTAAAGTTGGATGTGGTGAACCACGAACAGTAAACTCGATGCACGTGTCATGGCGACGCTCTGGTTCCTTTAGCTTTACAATCATCGGAGGAACTAAAAGGACAGATAAACAACAGACCACTCTTCACTTTCACACAAACACAAAAAAGTGAGTTCACGTTTTTCAAAATCAATTTTAGCTGTGAAGAAACAAAAATTCTATGAAGTGGTGTGGTCCTGTTTCTAACCCTAAGTTGAAGTGTTTTCTCCAAACTTACACAAAAAATGTATAGAATTATTTTGGCTTCAAGATATTTCTCCTGCAGGGATGGAGACTCTTGCAAGTGTATTTGTCTGTGCTTTATGTCCAAACTTACAGTGAACAGTGAGCTGAACAGGAGCACTGACCATCCCAACAATGTTGGTAGCCGTGCATGTAAGAGGATAATTGTTGTCATCTCTGCTCACATTAACCAGAGTTATGTTGATAGAGTGAATACTGTTTTCATACACTCTAGCCTGGAGGAAAAGCAAAATAAAATAAACAAACATGAGTAAATAAAGGGTGAACATACGATGCACAACATGTTTACTTAGCATTCAAAACTCAACGACTTTATAATATTAGTTTTATTTAGGATTATCTTCATATGCACATTACAAATTCATATATTTATATATACTGTATAGTGGAGTGCAAAAGTTTGGACAGCCTTGTTAATTTTCCTGATTTACCATTTATAAATCATTGATTGTTTGGATAAAAATATCAGTAAAATATAAATAGGGGACAAACAGTGATATTTGAGAAGTGAAATGAAGTTTGAATGATTTACAAAAAGTGTGCAATAATTGGTTAAACAAAAATAGGCAGGTGCACAAATTTGGGCACCATGAAAAAAACCTTAACTCAATATTTAGTAGATCCTCCTTTCGCAGAAATAACAGCCTCTAACACTTCCTATGGCTTCTAATGAGAGTCTGGATTGTGGATGAAGGTATTTTAGACCATTCTTCTTTACAAAACATCTTTATTTCTTTCAGGTTTGGTGGTTTACGAGCAAGGACGGCTGTCCCTAACCGGCCCTTGTTCTGCCCAAATAACTGTTTTAGTTTCATCAATCCACAGCACCTTATTCCAAAATGAAGCTGGCTTGTTCAAATGTGCTTTAGCATACCTCAAGTGGCTCTGTTTGTGATGCGGGTGGAGAAAAGGCTTCCTCTGCATCACTCTCTCATACAGCATCTCCTTTTGTAAAATGTGCTGAATAGTTGAAGGATGCACAATGACTCCATCAGCAGCAAGATGATGTTGTAGGTCTTTGGTGCTGGTCTGTGGGTTGACTGAATGTTCTCAACACCCTTTGCTTCTGTTTATTCGAGATTTTTCTTTGTCTGCCACATTGAGCCTTGACTTGAACTGTACCTGTGGTCTTCCATTTTCTCACGTTTCTCACAGTGGAAACTGAAAGCTGAAATCTGTGAGATAGCTTTCTGTATCCTTCTTCTAAACATACAACTGCCCCCCTTAAATACCCTTTCTCATAATTGGAGTCACCTGTGCATGGAGGTCAAGGGTCACTGAACTTACCAAACCAAATTTGAGTTCCAATAATTAGTTCTAAAGATTTTGAAATCAATAAAGCAGTGCCCAAATTTATGCACCTGCCTAATTTTGTTTAACAAATCATTGTAAATCATTTAAACTTCATTTCACTTTGTCCCCTATATGATATTTAACTGATTTTTTAAATCTAAACTATCAATGATTTATAAAGGTAAATCTGGAAAATTAACAAGGCTGGCCAAACTTTCGCACCCCACTGTGTGTGTGTGTGTGTGTGTGTGTGTG